AGCAGCAGCTGACTTGGGGACGCTTGGGGTTCTTAAGTTGATTCTGTATGTAAGTCAGAACTGGTGGTCAGTTTCAGCAGCGGCTGCATCTGGACGCCAGTTCTGACTTACATACAGATTCAACTTAAGAACAAACCTACAGTCCCTATCTTGTACGTAACCCGGGGACTGCCTGTAATGGTAATTTAATGTAAAATAATAATATAATTCACTCAAGAATATAATTACTTTTTCAAAGCTAAAAATTATAAAGCCACTTCCTCCAAACAAAAATTAGTGTAACCTTGGCATTTGCTTTTTCCACCAAGCTTGTTTATGTTAAGGAGAATACATGCAGAATGAACGCAGAAAGGCAAGTGAAATGCAGTATAGCTCAGAGATGAGCATTTTACCCTAAGTTTCCTAGCACTGCCTGTTGGAATGATTGATTAGTCTTGTAATGTGATAGACGTTCTAGTCAAGACTAACCTTGCTTGTATAGCAAATGCAATAACTGTTGAGCACTTAGCTCTTCATATGCCTTTTGTGACCATATTGATTTGGGACATTTATGACCTTTGCTGCCTTGAACGAAGGACATCACGTCCAACTTAACAAATTCCTCCTGAGGTAAATTCATTTTGCACATTGCAGATGAAATCCTGCCCCTGCTCAAGTTAACCAGAGTTTTGCCACTGATTTGAACAGGGTCAGGATTTCATCTTTGAAATGACTTTTATGGACACTTCCATTGTAGCATGTTGTTAATGGGTAGGAAAAGGTTAATGTAAAATACAAGATTCTTCCAAAACTCATGTACATGTTGTATGGAGTGGCTCTGTACTTTCTTTATTAAGGGTATTGATCTTTGAGATGATCCTAGTAATCCCAAGAGATATTACAAGGTATCAGAGGGTATGTCTACACTACAAAGTTAATTCGAACTAAGCTAATTCGAACTAGTTTTTAGGTCTAGATGCACTAGTTCGAATTAAGTGGCTACACAGCCCTTAATTCGAACTACTTAATTTGAACTAGGCGTTAGTCCTCGTAGAATGAAGTTTACCTAGTTCGAATTAAGTGGCTACACAGCCCTTAATTCGAACTACTTAATTTGAACTAGGCGTTAGTCCTCGTAGAATGAAGTTTACCTAGTTCGAATTAAGTGGCTACACAGCCCTTAATTCGAACTACTTAATTTGAACTAGGCGTTAGTCCTCGTAGAATGAAGTTTACCTAGTTCGAATTAAGTGGCTACACAGCCCTTAATTCGAACTACTTAATTTGAACTAGGCGTTAGTCCTCGTAGAATGAAGTTTACCTAGTTCGAATTAAGTGGCTACACAGCCCTTAATTCGAACTACTTAATTTGAACTAGGCGTTAGTCCTCGTAGAATGAAGTTTACCTAGTTCGAATTAAGTGGCTACACAGCCCTTAATTCGAACTACTTAATTTGAACTAGGCGTTAGTCCTCGTAGAATGAAGTTTACCTAGTTCGAATTAAGTGGCTACACAGCCCTTAATTCGAACTACTTAATTTGAACTAGGCGTTAGTCCTCGTAGAATGAAGTTTACCTAGTTCGAATTAAGTGGCTACACAGCCCTTAATTCGAACTACTTAATTTGAACTAGGCGTTAGTCCTCGTAGAATGAAGTTTACCTAGTTCGAATTAAGTGGCTACACAGCCCTTAATTCGAACTACTTAATTTGAACTAGGCGTTAGTCCTCGTAGAATGAAGTTTACCTAGTTCGAATTAAGTGGCTACACAGCCCTTAATTCGAACTACTTAATTTGAACTAGGCGTTAGTCCTCGTAGAATGAAGTTTACCTAGTTCGAATTAAGTGGCTACACAGCCCTTAATTCGAACTACTTAATTTGAACTAGGCGTTAGTCCTCGTAGAATGAAGTTTACCTAGTTCGAATTAAGTGGCTACACAGCCCTTAATTCGAACTACTTAATTTGAACTAGGCGTTAGTCCTCGTAGAATGAAGTTTACCTAGTTCGAATTAAGTGGCTACACAGCCCTTAATTCGAACTACTTAATTTGAACTAGGCGTTAGTCCTCGTAGAATGAAGTTTACCTAGTTCGAATTAAGTGGCTACACAGCCCTTAATTCGAACTACTTAATTTGAACTAGGCGTTAGTCCTCGTAGA